GTCAGTATGGGCTAGATTATATATAGTAATAAGTAAACCAAAACTTTAGTAGTCCAGTTTTACAGGGGCATTTTTATCCCTAGTTCTATAGGAATCACAAGAAGAGGAAGGCACCTATCTCCCTTTCTTCACTCTGTGATGCATAGAAATGAAAGAGCCAATATCTGTAATATTTCTGGTCACTGTGGCAACAAAAAACAAACTGGAACATTTATTTTTGCTCACAGTATTCATATGACCTCTATTAATACCTAGGATGAAAGGAAGTACAATAAAATCAAGTCCTGGGAGGAAATCTAAAAAAAATATTTGAAAAATAGCACTAATACCCTCATGGGCCCCACATGCATCAGTACCTTTACAGCGACATACAACCCTATACAAGCAACTCTACCAAAGTCTCAGAACAATCACGTAAAAAGATATATATATAGGTCACTCCACTGGGTAGACATTTCAGACCAGATGCCATAAATTCCAGCTAAAATTATCAATCATTTGAAACATTAGGATTATACATTTTACATATGTTTCATTCTTTGTTATTTACAAATAATATTCACTAGATCCATACTTATAGTTAAATTTATAATTTTCCCCTTACATTTCTTTAATTAAACCTAATAAAGAAAGAGACGTGAGAGAAAATAATTCATTCCCAGAGGTGTTCTAGAGGACCATAATTTGAAGTTGGGTATAGTAACTATATGAGACTTTGGGTGTCTACCTTTAGAAGCATGTCAATGCATTTTTATTTATATGTGTAATACTAAACCAAAAACCAAACCAAACTCACTGCTGTCAAGTTGGTCGTGACTCATAGCGACCCCACTTGGGTTTCCGAGGCAGTATCTCTATAGAAATAGATTGCCCAGTTTTCCTTCTGAGGCATGGCTGGTGGGTTTAGTAGTGTGTTCTTTTCCTTTTATATGTTCAGAAAAGAAAGGGAAGAAAGGGTATTGGGCAGCCCAATGGATGGACTGTGGCAGACACCAGTTTTATTTTTTTTCCTTCCAATAATTCATTCTTTCATTCTCATGCTGCAGTATCTTTATTTGCCTTCAAGGACACAAACCATTTGATTTACTCTTGTCTGTCAAGATGCCCCATGCCAAAATAAGCAAGTGTGTGGCATGGGAACAAGACAGACCAATACGTACACCTCTTCTTGAGATTTTAATCTTGATAGAGAAATGTGAATGGGAAAAGCAACTGAAATCAATTCTCAGCAACAGCTTCCAGAGGATTTCTTTCTTTAATTCCTTGTTCCTCACACTATACAGACTGTCATTTTTTAATGAAATATAGTTTATTATTTTTTTTTCCTTCATTCTATGAACAATCTCATATTTTTCCATTAAAGTTCAGTTTGAATAATTAGATTCCATTTCTGTTGTCATAGAAATGTAAATTTATTTGATACTATGTTGAATTTTATAACTGATCAGTGTCTTGCAAATAAAAATGACAAGGATATATTTTCACTTACTATTTGTACAAAAGTCAGAATTACTGAAGGTGATCAGCTTAAAGAAGATTCTGAATAAATGAACATTTATATACTGTTGCTGGGATTATAATTTTTTTTCTGAGAGATAAAATATATATATATTTTTTGTGATTTGGGTGAAAATATACAGAGCAAATTCACTTTCCATACCGCAGTTCACATATACTTTGTCTCATGACTATGACTACAATTTACCCCAATGCAACAGCTCCCCTCCCACTTCCTCCTCATAGTTACCTCTTCCTTGTGTCCATCCCTCCATGAACTCCTGCCCCCTGAGCTGTCTCCCTGTGCATAACCAGCCCTTCTTTCTCCCATGCTTGTTCTCTCCAAGGAGTGTATCTACCTCAGGTTAATGTTGAACTCATATGCTTGTCATTTGTTTGGCTGGAAGCCACAGGTGTGGGTTCACTTTCAGACCTGAAGAGCAGTTGGGGCCATAGTCTCAGTGGTTCCACCAGGCTCTATCAGACCAGCAAACCTGGTCCCCCCTCCTTATTTTTTCTTTCAAATGACTTTGAGTTTTGTTCCACATTGTTCTCGCTCTCTAGCTGGGATTATAATTTAATGCAAACTTTTTGTATAGCAATATAGCATAACATGACGATATTAAAAATGAAAATGTCCTCAACCAAGCAATTTTACCTATGGCAACATACTCTATAATAGTATTTGATGATATTTTTTTAAAAAATACATAGATAAATTGATAGATAAATAGCATTATTTTAATTTATCATTTTTGGTATTGATTTAAAGCCCACTGCCATAGAGTTGATGCCAACTCCTAGGAACCATGTAGGACAGAGTAGAACTGCCCTTAAAGGTTTCCAAGGCTGTAAATCTTTGTGGAAGCAGACTGCCTCCTCTTTCTCTACAGAGAAGCTGGTAGCTTTGACCCACTGACCTTTTGGTTAGCTTTAACCACTGTGACATCAGAGCTACTAAAGGGCCGTCAATGATGGGATAGTTAACAATTTATTACTGTCTTCCAACTTTTAAAAATAATGAAGCTGATTTGATATATACAGAAATTAAAAACAATGTTCATCATATCTTTGAGCAAACAAAAAGTTTCAGAACAATATGAAAACATATTACAAGTTACGTTAAAAAATTTTAAAAAACTGTATCTATGTATCTCTCTGTCTGTCTGTCTATATGTATCTAGCCAACATATATTTTTTTGTGTGTGAATGTATGTGTAAGAATACATATAACTTTTAGAAGTAAGTCCTGGGAGGTTATACCCAAATAGTTTGCAGTGGGAATCCTGTGGAGTGGTAGTCCTTTAAGTAGGGACTTTCATTGTTTTTCTGAAAAAATTCATTATATTGTAGACTTTTAGCAAGTGCATATATTACTTTGAAAAAATGTACTAAAATAGAATAGAGGATAATATGAAGCCTAATTATGAAGGTAGTAAAGGAAATATTTAATACATTTTCAAAGGAGAGTAGAAAAAAATGACATGAGGAAAGGGAAATCAAATTTATGTGATTGTGGTATATTTACAGAGTCACAAAATGGCCATGTTTTCATTAATTTTTAATATTGTTCTAAATAATATTGATAATACTTACAATTTACTGAGTACTTACTATGCATTAAGCACTTTGTTATATGCTTCATAGGGATTATCTCAATTTTACTTCATAACCACCCTATGAAGCAGGTACTATTTTCATCAGTTTATAGGTTAAAAAAAAAAAAAAAAGAAGGCAAAATAAATTACACAGCATGTAATTAGCAGAGCCAAAAGGCATTCCATTTAACCACGGACAAAATAAAAATAAAAACCAAATCCACTGTCATCGAGTCAATTCTGACTCATAGCAACCCCTATTGGGTTACCAAGGCTGTACATCTTTACAGTAAGGAACTCTGGTGGCATAATGCCTAAGGCATTTGACTGTTAACCAGAAGGTTGGTGGATCAAACCCACCAGCCACTCCATGGAAGGAAGGCTGAGCAATTTACTTCCATAAAGATTTATCACCTGGGAAACTGAAAGGGGGCCTCTATGAGTTGAAATTGACTTGATGGCAGAGAATTTGGTTGTTTTGGGTTTAAATCTTTATGGAAGTAGATTGTCTCATTTTCCTCCTGTGGAGCAGCTGGTGGGTTTGAACCCCTGACCTTCTGGTTAGTAGCCTTACCCTCTAAGCCACCAGAGCTCCTTCATTTAACTATGAGACTTAAATAAATCCTGCATTTACTTGGTTTTAGGAGGATTTGCAGGCATCTTGGAATAACTAAAGTTTTCAATGCATACTTTCCTAATGCTATAGAAAAGAGCTACCTCCTCTTGAAGCAGAGAGCATCAAATGGCAAGAAAAAGAAATATCCTAAGTTACTATATTAATGTCAAAACTTTACTTTTGCTCGCCTTTCTCAAGACTGAGACTTCTTGCATGTGGCTACCCTAGCCAATTATCTGATTGAGATGCTCTTTATCAGGAACCTCTAGACTCTGGAGCTTAACTAAGGACAGAGACTTTGCTTCAAGGTCAGTGACACAAAGCATATACTTATGGTGAACCTACCTTCTACAACAAGGATAAGGGAGTAACCTGCATTATGTGAGTTCCACAATTTACCCAGAATTTGAAAACAGGTTCTTGAGAGAAGGCTGCAAGGAGTGGAAGAGTGCTGGACAAAATACAGGAGGCTCTGCCAATTAATTGCTTTTTATTTACATTTGTTTAGCTTAAGGCACAATGATGTAAATTTTATTTTGAGCTTTCAAAAGAATGAAGACAATTTTAATACTGTAGTTGGTTTCTAGTTTCTGAGAATGATCTAGACTTATTTTAATACTTTTTATTATTTTTTTTTTTCCTTTAAAAAGCTTGTATATGGCTAATAGAGCTTCTCTTTGTCTGACTTGGTCTAATGTTTGCTCCCATGGTGGTTGAGGAAAAAGGTCAGTGTAAAAAGATGACATTAGTCAACTGGGCCTAATTAATGATTTATTTTTGTGTGTATCTGTGACTTACTGAAAGTATGCAATATACTTTGAAAAGATGAGTTTATTTCACTATATCTATTAACAATTAATTATGTTTTAAGAGAATGATATTCACCAAATTTTGTAGACATACAATGAAAAGATAATCTTATGATTCCAAGTCTTGTTAACTAGTTTTCTCTTTATACTGTAGTAGTTCTATAGTCTACATTTAGTAACTAAAAGAATAGTTCTTCAAACAGATGGTTTAGAAGTTTAATCACTAGGTGTTTGTGTGTTATTATTATTATTTCCTTCACAACACTCAGAAGGTAGGAAAATCTACTTGAAACAGCTTATTAGCTATTTTGAAAAATAGTATCTACATTATTAATTTATTTTATGTCATTGTTATTCATTTTTTTAAAATATTGATCTGGCTGCTGTATTCAAATTACATTATTTCTCAGTATATCAGGCTACTTATTTAATTAAATATATTAAATTAGTCAATAACAATGATATTGCACATAGACTTACCCTGGCATTGGTCCATTTCCAGCAAGACTGTATACCTGGCGAGGATTTAGTAGATACTGGAATTTTCTGTATATTCTGTAAATGTGAAAACAGAGAAGGAAAAAAAAAAAAGAAATTTGGTGACACTAAATACGTTCTAAACAATATAATAAAATAAAAATAAATAAAATTGCTACAAATAAATAAAATAGTTACAAATACATATTTAATGAACTGTATATTAATAAAATTATAAGTTCAATAGGAATTTATCATTCTTAAAAAAGGGCAGGTTTAGTAGTCAGGCCATGTTATTTCACACAACCAATTATCTTTATCAGTTATCTCAAAAATAACTAAAGTTTTTCAACAGGAGCATATTAAATAATACTTTTTTTAATGAAATAAATAGAGTTTTGTATAACAAATGAATCAAAAATATCTTAAGTAGACATACATGCACTTGACTGGACTATGTGACAAAATATTAGAAGTAAAGAGATACATTTAGCCTTTTTAAAAAAGAAGTTTTAATAGTTGTATAAATATTACTCTATATTTTACTCAAACAGCTCTGATGGCTTAAGGCATTTGACTGGTAACCAGAAAGCTGGTAGTTAAAACCCACCAGCCACTCCTTGAAAGGAAGGTTGGGCAATCTACTTCTGAAGAAACCCAAGAAGGGGTTGCTATGAGTCGGATTTGACTAGATAGCAGTGAGTTTGGATTTTGGTATTTTTATATTAACTGATAGAAACACTACATATACATTATATAATAATTGTTTATATCGCTTCACCCCAAACCCTGCAATAATATTCACATTCTAGATTTTGATTAATTGTATCACCTATACTATTGTTTCAAGAAAGAAAGTCATTCTGAATACCTCCTTTTTTCCTAGCACCTGAATCTGATTAGTGGACGATTCTGTGCCTTCTGGGAGAGGTCTATTAAACCTGGCTATTCCATTCCCACTGCCTTACTTCATGCCTTTAAGTCTCTTCCAGCTTATAAAATTCTTGCCTATTCAGACCTCTTTTATACTGCTATTGTGATAGAATCAGATTATATCCATGATTAAAAGTTATTCATAATATAAATCCAAACATCTTTACAATATGGTCACAGTTTATCTCTTATCATTCCCCTCCTTTACTTAAAACTGTAACCTCTGTGCACTCCTCCTGGTTAACTGAAGGAACTAGGCCTTGTTTATGAATCTATGTTTTTCTTCTTTTTTCACCTGCAAACATTTACCTATGGGAGAACCAACCCCAGTGTTACTTTTTTTTAAAAGAGTTTCAGTCTTCAGAGAGTTATTTCTTCCTTTGAATTTCCATAGCATTCACCATGGTGTACTGCAATGCATCTGTTTACATACTTGCCTTCCTGTCAAACATACCCAAGCCAAGAAAAACCAAAATATTTTTAAAAGAATCCTAAATGCAATATGATTGTTTATTATAGCCACTTCCTATGGATGTGGAAAGTAATGGTTGTATTCATTATAGATCTTTAAAACACATTTGCATTTAATTTGATTTTGAAGGATTGCTGTCAGCCGATGAAGGAAAAAATCTAAGTGGGTATGCATATCAAGAAAACTAAACTCACTGCCACTGAGTTAGTTCTGACTCATACTGACCCCTAGTGGGTTTCCAAGGCTGTAAATCTTTACCAAAGAAGAATGACTCATCTTTATTTCAAGGAGCAGCTGGTGGATTCAACCCACCGACCTTCTGGTTAGCTGCCAAATGCTTTAATCACTAGACCATCAGAGCTCCTCTGGGTACGCATATATAAAGAAAGAAAAAAAGCAAAAAACACTGCCATCAGCTTGATTTCAACTCATAGCGACACCCATTGGGTTTCTAACACTGTAAATCTTTATGGAAGTAGATTGCCTCATCTTTCTCTTGCAGAGCAACTGGAGGGTTTGAACTGCTGATCTTCTAGTTAGCAGCCCTTCCTCCTGCAGAACAACTGGCAGGTGTGAACCGCTGATCTTCTAGTTAGCAGTCAAATACATTAACCACTATGCCACCTGAGCTCCTTTGGGTATGCATATAGAGGCACTCAAATATGCACCTACCCCAATAAAGTTTAATATTCTTATGACTTTAGTGTATCTATCTATGTATTATTTAAAAGAGACCTACTGGAGCAACAATTAAATGTTCAGCTGTTAACTTAAAGGTTGGCATTCATACTCAACCAGCATTTCCATAGAAGACCTGGCAATCTGTGTCCAGCCAAGAAAATCCTATGTTCTACTCTTACACAGGAATAGACTCCATGGCAACTAATAATTATTATAGCTATGCTTTTAAAATTTCCAGAAAAGAATTTATATGTACTTGTGAATAGAGAAGGCAGTCAATGGTCATTCCAATAATTAATGCTATCTCACTTTGAGGGGATTTATTTTTTCTTTCCTATTAACTATATGGGAGCTCTGGTAGCGTAGTGCCTAAGGCATTTGACTACTAACCAGAAAGCTGGTGGTTCAAACCCACCAGCCACTTCTCGAAAGGAAGGCTGGGCAATCTACTTCTGTAGTGATACTTCCTTGGAAACCCACGGAGGGGTTGCTATGATAAGATGAGATGATATGATAAGATGGAGTCAGGCCCGACTTGATGGCACATGACAACAACATGAAATATATATTTTCTCTTTATCTCTTAAGATTTCATTTGTCTCCAATTTACAACATGAATTTAAGTCTATCAAGTTCTTTGTAAAGAGTTTTTTTTTTTTGGTCAAGAAATCAAAACATGCACAGTTAAAAGACAATGAGCTAAGAAGGAAAAAATTATTTTAGCATAATTTTAATTACTATTTTATACATGAGAATGAGCCTACTATTCTCTTTAATAAACATATGTTTAATTATTAACCCACTAAAAAATAGGAGCTCTGGTAGTGTAGTGCCTAAGGCACTTAACTGCTAACCAGAAGATAGGGCAATCTACTTCCATAGTGATGTTGTTGTTGTTGTTATTTGCCATCGAGTCGGCCCCGACTCATAGCGACCCCTCCTTGGGTTTCCGAGGCAGTATCACTACGGAAGTAGGATTGCCCAACCTTCCTTCCGAGGAGTAGCTGGTGGGTTTGAACCGCCAGCCTTCTGGTTAGCAGTCAAGTGCCTTAGGCACTATGCTACCAGAGCTCGATACTGCTTCAGAAACCCAAGGAGGGGTTGCTGTGAGCTGGATCTGACTCGAGGGCACATAACAACAACAACATTAAAAAAAAAAAAAAAAAAAACTTTCATTTTTGTGGTTGTCAGCTGCCATCAAGTTGACTTTAAGTCTTGGTGACTCCATGTACAACAGGATCAGATCATTGTGATCCACGGGGTTTTCATTGGCTGAATTTTTTGGAAGTAAGGGGCCAGACGTCTCTTCTTAGTCTGTTTTAGTCTGGAAGCTCTGCTGAAACCTGTTCAGCATTATAGCAGGACACAAGTCTACACCAACACATGGGTGGTCTATATCTTTAACACAGTAAAAATATAACTATATATTGACAAAAAGGAAACAAAATCTTATTCTATTTTGGCAGAGATAATATTTTATTGACTGAAAAATGAAGAGTGTTCTTAATTTCACTGAGATGAAACAGGAAAGTTAAAAGGTAGGAACTAAATTACTTTTTAAAAATTCCACTACTCATGAAAAAATTGACTTAATTATTTGGTAAACTACAAAGGACATTTCTTTTTATTGTCCATGTTTGTGTGAGTGCTTTTATCAATTTGCTTATTTTTTATTTGGGTTTAGTAAAAAGTTCCAAAAAGCATTAAGGCAGGTGTAACTGCATTTTTTATATGACTCTTCTATTTTCAGGACATAAGAGTTACTGTTCAAGGAGTAAATTTCTAATTTTTATTAAGTATTATGACTTAATCATTACCTCATTATAAAAATGAAATTCTATGTTGTAGGCTGTACAACTGAGACACTCAATAATTCAGGTTATTATTTTTTCAGATTAGAGAAACTGTACTTATAAGGAAATGTGGTATCATATTCTCCAAAATGCACTTGTAGAAATCACTATTTTGTCCAGAAGGTAGATAGATATAAATTCTGTTTTCTGGTATTGAGTTATGATTTAAATGAAGTCACCTTATTAACCATAAAGAGAACCAAGTTTCATTGATAAGTATTTACAGAGCCATGTGGTATGCATAGCTCTTTGTTAAGGGCTAGGGTCATAGGTGGTGTGGAGAGAATTCAGATACCTGAGCTGTGTGATACAGATGTTTACAAAAGGCCATTATTATATTAAAACTTCAATTATAAAAAAGGACAGATCATATCAATACTTTACATATACATGCTAGCATTGTTTAGTTCACATTAAAATGAGGTAACAGTGAGGATTATAGTTTTTAAACATTTGTACATCAGAAATTTTCTTAATCTTTTTACATATATATGACAGAAAATAAATATTATTTTCAAAAACATACCGTTCTCCTTGCTTCCCGCCACTTTTGGGGTTCACAAAAACTAAAAGTGGATGAGTGCCAGGAACAGGAGTGATCTAGAAGAAAAGTTGTTGTTATGGATAAATTATTATGCACATCTTATTTGAAGAGTACCTCTTTTTGAAATAAAAAGACATGGGATAAAAATTTGCATACTCAAGAATCTGGTTGGTCTTTCTATAACGTAGAAACACACACACACACACACACACATACACATATACAGTAACTCAACTAAACTCTGTGTTTTGAGTATATATCTTTGATTGTCTCTACCCAATGGTGTACCCACTTTGAGAAAAGAGCATCTAGGAATGGTAAAGGAATCTAGGAATATAACATTTGTAATAGCAATGAGATAAAAATAAAAAGTACAATCTGTGAGACAATGAATACTGTATTTTTACACAAATAATGCTTATGTTACACATTTTTCCCAGATGCACCCTCACCCCAAGGTATAATCATAAAGCAGGCTATGCTATTTTTTTTTTTTTTTTTTTACACATTGCTCTGAAAAACTATCATAGCTTGCTTATGAAAATATCTTGGGAGAAGGGTGTGGTTGAAGAAAGTGTTTAATACACTCATTATTTAATATAAAAATATGGCAATGGCTGGAGATAATTCAAAAATAGTTGCAGCAGTATACTGACAGAGAACTTCCAGAAATGCAAGTTGGGTTCAGAAGAGGACGTGGAATGAGGTATATCATTGCTGATGTCAGATGGATCTGGGCTCAAAGCAAATACCAGAAAAATGTTTACTTGTATTTTATTGACTATGCAAAAACATTTGATTGTGTGGATCATAACAAATTATGGATAACATTGAGAAGAATGGGAATTCCAGAACACTTAATTGTGTTCATGAGGAACCTGTACATAGACCAGGAGGCTGACGTTTGAACAGAACAAGGAGATACCATATGGTTTAAAGTCAGGACAAGATTGTGTCAGAGTTGTATCCTTTCACCATAATTTTCAATCTGTATGCTGACCAAGTAACCTGAGAAATAGACTGTATGAAGAAGAGCATGGCATCCAAATTGGGGGAAGACTCATTAACAATCTGCAATATGCAGATGACATAACCTTGCTTGCTGAAAGTGAGGATGACTTGAAGCACTTACTGATGAACATTAAAGACTACAGTCTGCTGTATGGATTACATATCAACAGAAAGAAAACGAAAATCCTTACAACTGGACCAGTAAGCAGCATCATGATAAACAGGGAAAAGATTGAAGTTGTCGAAGATTTCAGATTACTTGTTTACACAATCAACACCAATGGAAATAGCAGTCAAGACATCAGATGATGTATTGCACTGGGCAAATCTGCTGCAGTAGATCTCTTTAAAATGCTGAGGAGCAAAAATGCATCTTTGAAGACTAAGGTGTGCCTCATCCAGCCATGGTGTTTTTAATTGCTTTATATGCATGTGAAAGCCGGACAATGAATAAGGAAGACTGAAGAAGAGTTGATGCTTTTGAGTTGTGGTGTTGGCAAAGAATACTGAAAGCACCATGGACTGCCAAAAGAACTAACAAAGCTGTCCTAGAAGTGCAGCTGGAATGCTCTTTGGAAGTGAAAATGGCCAAACTTCATCTCAACTATTGGTCATGCTGTCAGAAGGGACCATTTCCTGGAGAAGTATATCATGGTTGGTAAAGAGGAGGGGCAACGACAAAAGGAGAAGGCCCTCAAAGAAATGGATTGACACAGTGGCTGCAACTATGGGCTCAAGTATAGCAAGGATTATGAGGCTGTCACAGGATCAAGCAGTGTTTCATTCTGTATACAGGGTTGTTATGAGTCAGAGCCTACTCGATGGCACCCAACGAGAAGTCAGACTAAAGCAGAAGATAGAGGAGAAAAAGATTAGAAACAAGGAAAGTGATCAAATCACAGAGAGCCCTGTTGTTATAGAGGATTTCTAATTGAGAGCTTTGGGACATGTGTAAAATCCATCTTCCCAATCACTTTCACACTAGAAACTTAGTAAGAAAGTCCGAGCTCTGGTGGTGTAGTGCCTAAGGTATTTGACTGCTAACCAGAAGGTTGGCGGTTCAAACCCAGAGCCACTCCTAGGAAGGAAGGTTGGGCAATCTACTTCCGTGGTGATACTGCCTCGGAAACCCAAGGAGGGGTCGCTATGAGTCAGATCCGACTCGATGGCAGTGGGTTTGTGCCTAAGAGCCTCTCATCTCACAATCTCTCCTCAATGCTTTCTTCCCCAGCCTGGGAAGTAAAGTAGCAGTTAGTCAAGCCTATTAACAGGAGTCCATTACATATTGGACTCACTTTCACTTAGTAAGAATGACTGCGTTGCCGCTATGATCACACACTGCTTTCATTATTACCCACTACACTCTTAAACAAGACAGACAAGATGCCTGTCCTAATTGAGCTTACGTTCTAGTGGAGTAACAGACAAAAAAGAAACAAATCAATTTAGTAGTGAAGTGTGCCATGAAGAGAAATAAAGCTTTGAGTAAAATGATAGTACTTTATTGATGAGAGATAGATTATTTTAGACAGGGTGAGAAAGGAGAAATTTTGTATTTTACCTGAGTTTAACGTTAAAATATAAACTTTTTTAATAAAGATATTTCCATTCTTAGCCTCCTATGTAACTCCCATCTAAATACATTTAACAAAGATATCAAAAATATTTTAATAGCTAAAATATGAAGCTAATAGGGTTCTTTAAATATTAAGTTGAAAAGTTTTAGATCAATCTGCTTTCAAAATGTAGATTCAAGCTCTCCTTATTGCAGTGTCATTTCTCCTCAAGAATGGATCCTTAAATATTTAATGAGAAAATTAAAAACAATCATTTCACCATATCATTTCTTTCCTTCCTGTTTATTTAAACAATATAACTTAAAATATTCTACCAACATATTCTTCTCCATTTCCGAATGAAATAGCACTTCTTCTAATGAGTATAGCTGCTAAGAAAATGTTAAATTTCTTCACATTTGCTAAATGAGAAGGTTAAGATAGTCTTGATTTTTCTATTCTTACCCATGTGGCTCTTACTACAATCTATCATTGTGTCTGTCTGTTTAATTTCATTTAAAAAGAGGACAAGAATTTCCAGTTGCTAATTTATCTCTAATTTAGTTGGGAGATGGATTGGATCTGTAGTAAATACCTGGTACTTCTCCCCTGAAACTAAGTGCTCAATATAATGTACATAAAGTGCCTACTATGTTGAAACCATTTTACTACTGGCTTCTTCACTTCAATAAAAACTAAAATAAAAGAACGCCAAAAAACACTACATATCTCAAATTATTGTTGAATTTCATTACCCATTATCATTGAGTCAACTCTGACTCATAGTGACTCCACAAGGTTTCCAAGGCTGTATATTTTTATGGAAGCGGACTGCTTCATCTTTCTTCCACTGAGTAGTTGGTGGGTTTGAATCACCAACCTTTTGGTTAGCAGTCAATTGCCCTCACCACATATCACCGGGAGCTTTTATTTCTCCTATTACAAAATCAAAGCTCCTAAAGCTCTGGTAGCATGGTGCCTAAGGCACTTGACTGCTAACCAGAAGGCTGGCGGTTCAAACCCACCAGCCACTCCTTGGAAGGAAGGTTGAGCAATCCTACTTCCATAGTGATACTGCCTCGGAAACCCAAGGAGGGGTCGCTATGAGTCGGGGTTGACTCGACGGCACATAACAACAACAACAAAGTTTTCACACACAAAAAAAGTAACACTCACTGATATAGATTTTTTTCACTTAAATTGAATTGTTACTGATTTTTAAATAGCGGTGATAATCTCCAGGTAAATAAAATATTTTTGAGGTAAGCAGTAGATCTGAACCCACACATTCATTAGGCGGACTTCCCTTTCCTCCCAACACTCAACACTGAGTTTATCATTAGATAAGGGTACACATGGCTGCAACATTTAAATTTATTTGAAAATATGTTTTAGAATGATTTTCAGAGATAGTTATTTATTGAGATAATTAAAGGCAGCATTAAAGTTATAAAATAGAAGTTGGTGCCATCCTAAAGAACAAGTGTGTTCTGAGTGACATTTAAAAAATTTATTTTAGTTTTTGTTGTTGTGAATACAGCAATTCAACAATTTCTACATGAACAATTCAGTGGCATTAATTATACTCAAGTTGTGCTATCATTCTCACACTCCTTTTCAGAACTGTTTCTTCCTCATTAACAAAATCTCAGTGCCATCTAAGTTACCTAACACATAATTCACATTGCTGTTGCCAATTTAATCCCATATAGATAGTTCTTAAAAGATACAGTACTCAAAACAGATGTTGTTTACTAGTTAAACTATTCTTTGATTTTAGAATGACTACAGGGAATATTTTTGGTTTAAGGTTTTAGGCTGAAGGATTATCTCAGGGCAATAATTTCAGGGGTGCATCTAGCCTGCATAGCTCCAGAAGATCTGGTTTCCATAGAATTTTGAAATTTTGTTCTGCATTTTTTCCTTTTTAATCAAGATTCTTCTATAGAGGCTTTGATCAAAATGTTCAATAATGGCAGGTGAGCACCATGTAGTTCTGGTCTCATGGCAAAGGAAGTAGTTAGTTGTTCATGGAGGCAATTATTCAATTTCTTCCTCCTATTTCTGACTCACTTTCTGTGGTGGCTCCAGGCAAATAGAGACCAATGTACCTTAAATGTCCACTTGTGAGGGAGCTCTGGTGGCATAGTGCCTAAGGCATTTGACTGCTAACCAGAAGGCCGGCAGTTCAAACCCACCAGCCATTCCTCGGAAGGAAGGTTGGGCAACCTACTTCTGTAGTGATACTACCTCAGAAACCAAAGAGGGGTTGCTATGAGCTGGATCTGACTCAACGGCAGAGAGTTCAGTTTTTTCTGTGAATTTTAAGACCCTAGGCACTACACAATGAACCAGGAGATACAACAGAAGAACTAAGCACAATATTAGGGAAATTAACTGGGATGTCCCGTCATCTATGACCTAAACTTACAAAACAAGAAACAAATCCCCTGAGGTGTTATGCTGCATTTGATCTCCAACAAATACCT